GAGACCTTGAAGGGTCTCAAGGAGTTTAGTGACCTGCGCGGGTTTTGTTTGATTCTCAGGAGCCGTGGTGGACAGACCGCGATGGCTTCGATGATCTCTTCGCGCGACTGATGAGTCCGACCCTCCAATCGGGGGAGGCCGAGGCGCGTCGCGACGCCGCCCAGTCCGCGGACAGCGGCGGCACGCGTGCTGCACAACAGCTTGCTCGGACCAGGAGAATGGCCCAGGCGCGGGGGAAACCAGGTAGGCAAATCTTTCTGCAACAGGTTGCCGATGAGGACGGCAACGCGCACAGCGATCCAGATGTCTGCGCTAGGCTTCTCGCCGCGCATTGGGGTGCCGTCTTCGAGGAGAGGGGGGCCGACTCGTCGATGATCGCTGACCCCGTTTCGCGGATTACTCCGATCCCTCGTGATGGCGTTCAATATCGTTCGGACTCTGGCGCGATTTATCCTTGGGTTGCCCCTGAAGGCATCCTGGCTGACATCGTTTAAAACCGTAAAGGTTCGTCTCCTGGCCCTGATGGCATCCCATACCCAGCTTGGCATGCATGTGGCGAGGTAGGAGTCAAGTGCTTGCGCGACATTGATTTCGAGTTGGTGCATGAGCAAGTGCTTCCACCAGATTTCAACGACCGCTCGGCCGCCTCTCTACCCAAGGGGAATGGAATGGATGGGGAGATGGCCACGAGGATGGCTGGAGAGACTAGACCCTTATCGTTACCTAACACGGGCAACAAGATGATTAGTGCATGCGTTGTTTGGCCACTGTCACGAGTTGCCGGCGATCGGGCGGCGAGCGCACAGGGTGGCTTCCTTAGAGGGAGGCAACTTATTGATAGCACTATCGAAGTAGACAGACGCCACGCTGTTCCTCGGCCGTGCTGTCTGCGGCGCCCGTCGAACAGGTGCTGTTCTTTTTGCTTTGCGAGCCGCGTTTCCGAGCGTTGTGCATACTTACATTTGGGCCGTCCTGCGCGCATATGGCACCCCCGATATTATCGTTCTAAGTACTATGGCTTTATATGTGAACACGATGTCGGCGATTAGCTTCTCTGGATCTGAGCCCACACACGTTAAACTCCTGCGTGGAATGAAGCATGGCAGCCCGCTCAGCGGCCTCATATTCAGCCCGCGCTTCGATCCTGCGGCGAGGAAACTGCAGGAGCACCGATTGTCTTCCATGTTTCCTCCAGACGAGCTGGCCGCGTCGCCCAGCGACCTCACCAGCGTGCTGCCGCGCATTGTTCGAGTGCTGGCACAGAGCGGGGGCGGTACAAGCCTCCTGCTGAACCTGAAGAAATGCCAGCTTGCATTCCCTGATGCTCACACATGCCAGAACGCGCTCAGGCATTGCAAGGATGCTGGCATTCGTGCGCGTAGTCTCAAAGTGCCGCGTGATGGGTGGTATTTAGGAGTTGGGATCGGTATTTCCTGTGCATCCAGTTCCTGGAGCCCTGCATTAGCCAATTTTAAGGAGCGGCGTCTGCATATTTTATATATATATATGTATGGAAGCAGGGTTGTCGTCCAGCATTTCATGATACAATATCGATGCCCTTCCAGTGGCCCCTCACGTTGCCCAAGCGCACTGCCATCCAGGCACCAGGCAATGCTAAACTTGTAGAGAAGGACTGTCTGCAACTACTCACCTGTGCTGCCCGCCGTAGCTCCCCTTCGCTCGCGATGTTTGATTTGGAGAGCCTGGGCCATCAAGTATCGGCGAGAAGGTTGGACATCTCCGCTAGAGCATGTATGCTGCGGGCAGCTATCCGTAGCATGGTGTTCCAATACGATTATACTTGGCTGAAAGATTGGGAGGGCTCTGATGACAGATGCATAACATGCCGTACACATATCATGGCTAAACACTATTATCACGATGATGGATCCTGCGTACGACAATTTCAACCGCATCCATCGTCCCCCTAACGATCTCCCCGCCAAAAGCAAGTGCAGTCTCGCGTTCATGATGCTCTCTTTCGTGCCTGTCCCCTCCCTGCCACCGCTAGTATTATTATTCCTCGTCTTCAAAAGTGGGGCGCGTTCAGTATGAGTGATGCAGACTTGTGTATGATTCGGCTACATGTGTTGGGTCGTCATGTTCCTGGCTATGTGGCCACTTCTCTCTGCAAGTCTTTGTTCAATGCTTGGGATACCACTCGTCGGTGGCGCTGTGGCGCGGGAGGGTGTCATTTCGGGTACAACGCAATAGGCGGGAATGACATATTGCATCATATGGTTTGTCCTATTGCGTGGAATGTGCTTACTAATGCTCTCGGACGGCCCCAGGAGAACAGAGATGGCAACCCGCTCTGTTCCTTCCTTCCCCATCTCCCCCCTCGATTCGTGAAGCCTTTTTTGTCTCATTGTATTGCTATCGACTGTAGTCACTCCACTTTTCAGTCGCTCCGCGCCTCGTGTCTTCCTCCGCCCCCCTCTCGCACGGCGGGTCTCATCAACTCTCGGCTGCGCACCAATGGTCGCAGATCTAGAGTAGCTGGCGAGCTGCTCAGAACCTAAAGGGGCTGCCGTTGGGCATCGGCGGCGACCAGGGCACTGGGACCTCTCTCCCCCCCCCTTTGGCGCGGGCCCTCCTCCTCCTGTTCCTCCTCCTCGTCCTCAACCTCATCCTCCTCCTCCTCCACTTCCTCCTCCTCCTCGTTCTCGACCTCCTCCTCCTCCTCCTCCTCCTCCTCCTCCTCCTCCTCCTCCTCCTCCTCCTCCTCCTCCTCCTTCCTCCTCCTTTTCATTGTCCCCTCCTCTTCCTCCGCCTCCTCCTCCTCCACCTCCCCTCCTCCTCCTCCTCCTCCTCCTCCTCCCTCCTCCCTCCTCCTCCTCCTCCTCCTCCTCCTCCTCCTCCTCCTCCCCCTCCTCCTCCTCCTCCTCCTCCTCCTCCTCCTCCTCCTCCTCCTCCTCCTCCTGTTCCTGTTCCTCCTCCTCCTCCTCCTCCTCCTCCTCCTCCTCCTCCTCCTCCTCCTCCTCCTCCTCCTCCTCCTCCTCCTGCTATCGTCGACCATCCCGACTGGCCACCCAAGGTGGCTCTAGCCTTTGAGGAGCGGTTCGACCGGGCACCCGATGCATCTGGTTCGGAGGAGGTCCCGTCACTCAAGGAGGCTATGCGGTCTGCGGCCGCCCGCCTGGATGGACCCGCATTCGATGTCTCTTGGTTTCCTAGATGGGGTCCGAGTAGATCGAGTCGGAGGATCGCGCCGCATCGCCGAAGCATTGGCGATGCGGCGCGATCCTCCGACCCCACCTATTCGAACCCCATCCAGGAGGCTTCTAACGTCGCAGGCACTTTCGCCACGGAGGACTGGGCTCCTACGCGGCATTGCCCAAAATGTCCGTCCCGGGGCATGGGTTGCCACGTTCCGCGCGCTACACAACGGCTGGCTCACCAGAAGTCGTTTTGGAGAAACGGACCTTTGCGTTTTCGGACGCGGTCACCACCAGGATTCTGTACGAAATTGCGCAGCGTGCCAGGTATTGATGAATTTCGACCAGCGGAACGGGCCACGACCACCGACCGACTCGGCACCTTCCTGGCGCTCCACACTCCGCACAGCTAGCACACGGCCACCGATCTCGCTAAACGAGCGCCTGTCACCTTCGCCGCTCATTCGGCAAGCTGTGCCAGACGTCATAGAGGCACCACCTGCGCTGCACAATCGTTCGTTCAAGACGTACGCGAGGCGGCCGCCGGTCACCGTGGCCCTCGTCGAATACTGACTGCCATATGGCCCAGGAAACGTGCAGCACCCGTTTCTTTCTCTTCCCCGCTTCTTCGTCTTCCTCATTTCCCCCTACCTCTCCATCCTCCCCTTTGGAACTGTGGCGCAGTTTTTTTGCGGCGACCAGAGGTCCCAGGGCGCTTGCCGAGGGCGATGCTCTGCTGCTGCCGAACTCATGTACTTTCTGTTTGGGAGGGGCAGGAGTTGTCCGCCCTTGTGGGGCTGGCGAGGAGTGGCGAAGTTGTTGGTCGTCCCTCCCTTCTCCCCAGCTTTTGCGTTCTGTCGTCGTTGGTCGTTTGTTTTTGCATCCGCCTTTCCCTTTTGCTTATGGCCGTTATTCTTCCCCCTTCTTTGGCTGGGCAACCATACGGGTTGCAGATCGGCGCTGGTTGATCTTAGACTTGACTTCACTTTTGTGTCTAGCCGCCGTCTGTTACAGCGGTTGACTTCCCATTCTTCCCCCCCTCCTCCCCTTCCCCCTCCTCTACCCCTTCAGTATTGCATTATGTCGTGTCGGATGTATCAGCATGGCTGTTTGGGCCATCTTGTAGGGGCATCAAAATTTCTGTGCAGCCGCGGGGCCGATACGTCTTCAAGGGCATTCGGTTCATTGACTTTCCCTGATCCAACCCGGGTCAGGGATAAATGCCAATTTTCAGGGACATGGCTTAGCTCCCCGCTTCGTGGCCGCATCGCTCCTCGACCGCTCGCCCAGGCAATAATCATCACAGGTCGCTCCTTTTGTTTGCGTCTGTCTAGGGGGCGGCAGGACTTGTCCGCTCCAGCAGGCGCATACAGAAGGCAGCAACGTAATCGAGGCGTGGCCCGAATCACTGGCCAGAGTTTTGGCCACGTTCGCAGGACAGCCCGCGAAGAACGTGATAGATGCTGGCACGGTTGGCCAGGCGAGTTGTGTGTACGATCGTTGTCCGCTCCCATCCCCTGCTCCTCCAAAGAAATACTCTCCTCTCCCATGCCCCTATTCTGTGCTGAGAACGCTGCGCCTCCCAAAACACTGCAAACCCAGACCCCCTGCGTCGTGTTTTGTCACAACGTCGACCCCCAGAGGTCTGGACACCTTCCCCGGGGACCGGTCTGTCACCCCGACCTCGTTTCTTGGCAGCCCCGGGGGCCCGATGGCAGGGCCCCCGGAGGCCGAAGATGCCGAAAAGCAAAGCAAGGCGAGGGGGTCTGGGATCTGTGCTGCGAGCGCAGCGCCCGCCGAAGCCCTGCACCGCGCTTCCCGCCCCCCGCCCCGCCCCCCAAGCAGTTCCCCGGCTGCGTCCGGCACCTGGTCGCCACCGCCGACCTTCGGCGCGCGCCGCAGAGGCGGCCCTGCTGCACCGCGAGCCCCCCCTTCGGGGCCGCCTTAGGGGCCGTAGAGCTCTGGTATCGGGCGGGCCCTGAGATCCTGTACAGTTCGGCTGTAGTTGCGTCTTGGGGGGAGGACGGCGTTTTGGCGTCTTTTCGGGCCTTGGGCTCCTCACAGGTCGATCCGGCACGAGAAAGAAGGCCGATAGGTAGGGTCTGGGGCTCCGGTCGTGATTTTCTGCGGGCAGCCAATGAGCGTGGGGGGGTCAAGGATTGCAGGGAGGTGACCCTGACCAGCCCCTAAACTGCCACCACGGGCCCACGAGGCGCACACGAAGGACGCACGCGTTTTCACCCCACGTCTGCTGCCCCCGTTAACGAGCACCCTGTCATAACAACTCGAGCTAAAAAGGAATCCGGGTGCAGGGCGCAGCTGGCTGATCAACCCAACCCGAGCAGTGCTAGTTGAGCCTTGGTTTTTGGAAGATCGCGCAGGATTCACCCTTTGATTTTGGAAGCCTTGATTTCGTCTTGTAGGGAGTAGGAGTGATTGCGCTCCGTCGGTGCGATCAGTAATGCTGTAGCTGCAATAAGTAGTTTTAAAGATTTGCGGGAGCCGACCTTCTGTTGACAATCAGAAACTGTTTTTTGCATGTTTTTGGAAAGCCTTAGCTTTCTGGGCAAAGACTTTTGATTCCGAAGTGTACGTTGGAGAAACTCTACGGGGACCCCCCGCTGTAACCAGGTCGACGATGTTTTTTGTTGTAGGGATGCGTGTTATTTGCCCCCAGATCACAAGTTTCGGCATAAAGAGTTCCGAGAAAGTTGTCCAGCAAACTTCAAAAATAGTGTGCGGTGTTGACACGACGTCAGTGTCTGCAAGTTGTTTGATCGACACATCGCAGACACGACCATCATATTTGCACCAAGCGAAGCGTCAACGATTCCCTACGTAGAACATAAGATTGGAGGTTCGAGGCCAATCCGTCGAGTCACGCGCACTCGTTGCAAAAACCGTGCATCATCCGCTCTGGTCGGGTCGGCGAGCCAGCTGCGCCCTGCACCCGAAGCCCTGCAGCCCGCGGGACCATTTTGGAGCTCTGCGGCAGGCTCGCGCCGTGTCGACGCGGCGGCGACCCCGCCCCGGGCGTTCCAGGTGGAACCCCGTGTCCTGGCAAGGGGCACTGATCCGGCGAGATCGCAACGCCGCCGATCGTTCCAGAGTGAACGGTCCACGCGACGTCATGGACCAATGCCAGGGTTCAGTCGGGCGTGTCCCCCTACAGGGGGATTTTCGGCGAAAAATTAAAAATACCCCAAAAACACCCCAAAATGGTCAAAAAATACTCAAGTCCCCAGACTATTTTTGGAGTATGTTTTGACTGTTTTGGGGGTATGGTTTATTTTGCGCCGAAAATGCCCCTGTGGGGGGACAGGCCCGACTTGATGCCAGGGTCGTCACGACACGAGCCTGCCGCACACTGCCCCTCTGGGGAGGACAGCCCAGAGACCCCCCATCTGTACCCGGACCCCACCCAGAAGGCCTCTATCGGGGCCTAAGAGACGGGGGTCAGTGCAAACGGGGGTCAGCCAGAGCGCCAGATCCTGCAGGATCCTGCGACGACCCCCTCTGGCTGACCCGGGTTAGCGAGGCGCTCGTGGCCGCGAGGCGGCCGCGCGTATTGGCTGACCCGGGTTTGCGAAGACCTGCGTTGCAGTTTTTTTCCTGCACTGCAGTTTTTTGGTTTCCTGCTGACCCGGGTCTGGATTGACCCGGGTCAGAAGATCCCCGACTCTAGAGAGGGAGGTCGGGGGCGGAAAAGAGGGGGGTGATGACTGGGGGGGGGGGGATCTCATGGCGGGGGCCATAATGTTTCCTCAGATGTCATGGCGCCTCGGTTGGTTTCGGCCCCGCCGCCAGGCGCGTTCCTCCATACGTTGGCGCCTCCGGCGCCGGGAGGCGTCAGGAGAAGCCAGCTGCAGCGAGTTGATTCGTTGATCCCCATTTTACTAACTCCGCCTTTCGTCCGACCCGATGCTCTTGGGCGTCCCCGTCGTCATTCTGGGATTATCTGATCACTCTCCAAAAGCTTTCCCAGCTGCTGAAAACTATATGTTTAGTAGGTTCCCTCATTTTGTCTTGATCGTCCTCCCCCGCCTAGGAACGTCGAATCGCTCGGGAGCGTGCCAGAACTCCCTGGAACGGCCGCGGCGCCCGATGTCATCCTCCAGATCCGTTGGCTCTCAGGAATTTCCAGACCACGTCATACCGATCTTGTGTTTTTCTTGCCGTCGTCTTGAACGTATTCGACAAAAAACAAGACGGAGGCGTGTCGTTACGTTATGCATTGGGATGCCCGTTTCGGGCCCCCTGGCTCTGGGACGGAAAATCATTCACCCATGAGTATGATCGTTGCCATCCTCCGTAGCAATTTTGGGCTGAAGCATTGTGGATGCCTGAGCCCCTTCGAACGAATCGCGTTGGTCTCGCCGTGCATTGCTGCTACACATGTCGCTTTCGAACACTCTGCTCGAGGCAGGTTCCCTTCGACCACGACACCCTATCAATCCGGTGGCGCTAGCCCTTTTGGGTTTTGCGGCGGCAGGCTGTGCCCTCGTAGTTTCCATCGCAGCTTCTGGTCATATCAGTCATCCGCCTGTCGCGCCGACCATGATGTCTGCGGCGGCTGTGTCAGAGAAGTCGCCGCTCAAGATTGCTGTCATGACGCTGGTCGGAATCTCCGGCCAGGGCACGGACTTCTTGCCACTGGTGAAGCAGCTTGACAAACTCATGGGTGAGAAAGTTGTGTTGGACCCGATCTTCCTTAACTACACGAAGATCGGCGGCGAGCGAGGGGGGGAAGTGAGAAGAAGAAGGCCCTCTCAGAAGGCGGCGGGACCTCTCAGAGGCCCTCGTGCCTTCTGAGAGGTTTTTTGTGTCTTCGGGGAGGCTTCGAAAACTTCTGAGAAGGGCGGGGGACTTCCGAACCTTCTGAGAAGGCCTTCCCCTTCTCACTTCCCCCCCTCGCTCGTCGCCGAGAAGAGCGTAGAGTCTGGGATCGACGCCTTCGCCCTGCACGCCATGCAGGTCCTGCACGCGCGGGTGGACCTGTTCGACCCCCGGGCTCGGTACGTCCTGCTCGCGCACTCCGCCGGCGGTGCCGTGCTCTCTCGCCTGCTGGACCTGCTGATGAACGGCGAGAGCCTGGTCCTGGGCCACGGGCGCGAGTCCGCGGTGCTCACAGGAGAGCTGGACTGCTACCTCACCAGGCATCCACTGAAGCAGTGCGAGGTGACCCACCACGACAAGCAGTTCACTCGGCCAGCGGCGGTGGTTGCGATGGAGCCGAGCCTGCTGTTCTTCGACGTGACCGAGAGGCAATATTCTGAGGACATCGCCGACGCGTTGGAAAAGGGCCAGGTTCGAGAGTTCTGGGATCTGCAAGGCAACAAAGAGCACTCTGGAGGTAAACTGCCTGGCCACTTCAGTACCGTGGGCAATTGGGCAGCTGACCTCGCGTCGCTGGTTGAAGCGCCCAAAGACGCAGGTTGGATTACGGATGCCATCGAGAACAAAGGATGGACGTGGAACATGTTTCGAGGGTTGTGCGCAGGTCTTGTCCACTGGTGCCCAGAGTCGAACCCGCAAGCTGAGTTTGTCGCACAGTACATCAAAGAAGGTGGCAGCTTCACTTACGTGGCAGGCACGGAGACGGACAATAAATTCCGGGCCCACATGGTTAAAGTTGTGTTGGAGAAAGAGTACGGGTTGAAGGCGGTTGAGACTAGTGGAGAAGGTGGCGTCAAGGATCTCAAAGATGGACAAGAGTATTATTTCCATGCGATTCCTGAGGCTGGGCACGAGATGTACGCAGACAACTTGCCGGTGACAAGTGATCTGATTAGCGTAGGGTTGATGACCGACTTACCTAAATTGTTTGCAGGTGTGGAAGATGAAATTCTCCACAAGAGGCAGTAGAGATGTCTCGGTGATTGTTCTGCGTATTCGCCCTGCTTATGTCTATACATATGCATATAGATGAACGAGCACTGTTCATTCAACATAGTATATTTTCAATGTCAGGTTTGTTCTCGGACTTGAGGTCGTCTGCATGCGTGCACCGCCATGCGCCCGGGACGCCGCAGACCGGATCATCTATTCGTTGCCCGTAGGCGTGCGCCGCCATGCGCACGGGGCGCCGCAGTCCAGATCATCATTTATTAGCACGATGTTTCGTCGATTTGGGCAGGTCTTGAAGTGTATCATGGAGGTCGAGGGCGCGGACAAAAACAAGTCGTTGCTATCCGCACGTTGTACGTTCGGAGAGGCGTGTAGTGCGCTCCAGAGAGAGAGAGCCTCGCCTTCGAGAAGCCGGCCTTCCCTTCACCTGCGGAAGGCGGCGGAAGCAAAACGACATTGGTCCGCCAGTGGAAGGCCAGCAGAAGTCGGCGGAAGTGCAAGGTGTCTATCCAAGAGATGCCGTGTTCTGAAGTCAGGGTGCGGCACCAGCCATGCGCTGCCCTTCTTACAGGCGGCCAGGATTAGTAGGTCGACCCTGCCAGCTCAAGGGTACCCTTGCGTCCTGTGCCTCGCGCGCTACGCTCCTCCTTACACTCCTGTGGCAGCGTGGCCCTCGGAAGGGTCTTGTGACCTCTCGTGTGTCCTCTCCAATCAGGTCCGACTGCATGTTTGCCAGCTCCCATGGCTGACCAGGCAATCACCTTGGGTTTATACTAGTCCTCCTCCTCGTCCTCCTCCTCCTCCTCCTCGTCCTCCTCCTCCTCCTCCTCCTCCTCCTCCTCCTCCTCCTCCTCCTCCTCCCCCCTCTCCTCCTCCTCCTCGTCGTCCTCCTCCTCCTCCTCCTCCTCCTCCTCCTCCTCCTCCTCCTCCTCCTCCTCCTCCTCCTCCTCCTCCTCCTCCTCCTCCTCCTCCTCCTCCTCCTCTCTCCTCCTCCT